GCCAGAACATGTCACTTGCACACGTGGCGCGGTTTTATTGGCCTTTTAATGTGACTTCGCATGCCTTGTCATTTTGACACGTGGCATGATCCTATTGTCTCTTCCGTTTGACTTGACGTGCCATGTCATTTGAAATATGGCACCAAACTGGGCCTCTAGAAAAATGACATTTTGGGCTTAATGAAGTGGGCTCATCACTCTAGCCCAATTAAATGAGCTAGCTCAATGGATTAAGACTTATTTATTTAATCCATATGTATTGGACTTATAATTAATTCAATTATATTAGCCCAATAGATTTATTTGAACTAATATATCTTGAATTTAAAATATAGTCCCAATTATTTTATGTATTTATTTTCAATAAAATTTATATGCCTACAAACGCCTAGCAAGATTCTTTCATATTTTTTGTAACAAACTCACATGCTCTCACTCAAAACTCACATGCACATACACACTCTTATTTTCTTGGCCACTAATTAATCCCTAAACCTACACCTCTATATCATCCACTCACTCGCACAATTAAGGTAGCACAGACACACACAAGACAGAAACAGAGGGAACGACAACAGAGCCAAAACAAAAAAGCCGCGGCAACCACCAAAATCAGTAGCTTTCCATCTTCTTCTTCTTCTTCCTTATCTCCACTGAAACCTTACCAAAAAGCCAATAATCACCTATATTCAACTATGCTTGAACGATAAATCACAAAAGCTCTGTCCGTTAATTTCTCCCGATCCTAAAACAGTAACACCACCGTAATCTAGCGCCGCAACACCTACAAAATTTTGATTCTCTGGTTTCGGCGCATACTGATCATCACGTAGAGTTGAGGGAAAACTCACAAATAAGAATTCTGTGGCAGTTTGTTTCTCAATATCCGAGTGGGGTTTTGCGAGGTTCCTTTAAGGTTGCTGACATGGTTTACGGTTTGCCGCTGTATCAGGTCGAGCTCCCTATTTTGATTCGAGTTTAATTTGCTGCTCTGTACTGATTTCGAGACTCTGTGCATTTGAATTTCAATTAAAGGTCTATTCCTCGCTCTGTTTCTTCTTAGATTTTCAGATTTCAAATTGTTATTGGTGTTTGAATGAAACATTCGTCTGTGTGTTTGCTCTTGGATCTTAAGTGGAATTCTTTTATTTGGCCTAAACTTTAATGAGATTAATCTAGGAAATTTTACCTCTTATAGCAAAGGTAAAATATTATTTTCTATAACTACCTTTTATATTTTATGGCAAAATAAGTATTTTATGGTATATATTACCATTGAGGCATGAAATAAGGTATGAAATACTCTATTTATGTTTTTTCTCTCTTAGATAGCTGGACATACCTATTTTTAAGGGATTGCCGTTACTGTATTCATGAATACATGGCGCGAATACATGTGAATACATGCGCGTACAGCTGGACTGCCCTGATTTTAGGTGCTTTTTACTGCTGTATTCATGAATACATGGCGCGAATACATGCGCGTACAACTGGACTGCCCTAATTTTAGGCGCTTTTTACTGCTATATTCATGAATACAACATCAAAAATACATGTGAATACATGCGCGTACAACTGGACTGCCCTGATTTTAGGCGATTTTACTATTGTATTCAAGAATACATGGTGCGAATACATGCGTGCACAACTGAATTGCCCTGATTTTAGGCGCTTTTTGCTGCTGTATTCATGAAGACAACAACGCGAATACATGTAAATACACTCCCGTAATAACTTAATAGTAGCTATAAGAAGTAATTATGTATATGGTAGCAATAGGAAGTTAATAGCCACTAGACGATAGTGATTTCTGAAAATTTCTCATTAATCTACCAATTAGATTAATTGATCCTCTTGTTAAGAAAGATTATGGGCCAAATGAGTTAATTTGTCAGGCCCGATAACTTTGGTATTTATTCATAAGTTAGCCCTTTTCTTTTAAATTAATAGATTATCCGAATTCTTTTAGCTTATTAAGACAACAATTGAACTCGCCAATAAATCCAATAGCTACATCATATATTCTCTTTACGGTACTTATCCATAACCTTTTGACCTTTCACAAACAAACCTCAAACTTAGGTATTAAATAATTTCGAACATCGTAGCTTACTTTAGGTGTGATTAATAAATCACACCTAGGTATTAAATCCAATAGCTACATCATATATTCTCTTTACGGTAATTATCCATAACCTTTTGACCTTTCACAAACAAACCTCAAAATTAGGTATTAAATAATTTCGAACATCGTAGCTTGTTTTAGGTGTGATTAATAATAAAATATCGTGACTATGGGTACGGTTCCCGTGGTATAGTCATGATACATAATTCCCCAATTCGAGTGTGTGCTTCATGCGACTCGACCATAACTTCAAATAATTAAAATAAACATGTTGTGAATCGCAGGTGCGTTTCACGTGGCGTAATTTGCAATATGTACAAAAAACAACGAGTGCGCTACATCGTGACTTGTTCAAATAAATTTCATAAATACTAAAAGCGATTAAATAAATAATTAAAAGCGGTATAGAAGCGGTAATGCATAAAAGGTTTTAAACATGTAATAAATCAGATAATTAGGCCAATTATTAATTGTTGAGCGATCATGCTAAAACCACGGAACTCGAGAGTGCCTCACACCTTCTCCCGGGTTAATAGAATTCCTTACCCGGTCTTCTGTGTTCGCAGACCATAAATAGAGTTAATTTCCTCGTTTTTGGGATTTTAAAATAAACCGATGACTTGGGACACCATAATAATTATCCCAAGTGGCGACTCTAATTAAATAAATAATTCCATTTCAAATAATGTCATTTTAATTGGAAAACTCCCTATTCTTCGGAAAAAAGGAGGTGTGACAGGAGATACTGCGTTCGGAGTCAGGCTTGTCATCTTCATCAATTTCAATTGCTAAATCTCATTTTAATCTTATCTCTTTATCATTTTTGGATCAAATCAGTTCGCTTCTCTATAAATCACGTATCAAATTTAAATGTATCATTTTACGAGTAATAGTTTGGCGCCTATAGTGGGGCTTAGACAGTTGCGTAATTGCTTTGATACTTGCGTTTATTACTAACTTGTTTTGATTTTTTCCTTAGTGAAAAAGATATAGCAACTAATGGTGTCAATGTTATACACAACGTTGAGGGGCACAAAGAATTATCTCAACACGATGACTCAATTTATGAAACCCGCAACGAAGGGGATGAGACGACCCCAGTACGAGATAGACAGTACCCTCGGCATATGCGGGAGCCAACTCCCAATGACGCAGAGGAGGAACATGTCGTGGAAACGGTAAAAATCATAAAAGAATAACAGAAAGCAATCATGAAGCACCTTTCCAGGCAGGATCGGGTAATGACAGAGTTAAAACAAGCATTGTCAGGCGCTTCCAATAATAAAAACGGAAAGGGCCCCGGTTCCTCCTAATGTTTCTGCAACTCAAACGGCTCAGAGAGTCGATAATAACACCCCAAGGGGTGAAGTCGGTTTTGACAAAGCCGGAGGGACCGTCAGTGGATCTAGAAATAATAACGGGAATGATCCCTTCAAAACCGAACTAATGAGGTTTTTGAGGGAAATGAACGAATGAATGGACCAAAATGCAAAGGTGTTTTATGCTCGGATGGATCAAATTCCGGGCGCACCGCCAGTACTAAAAGGCCCAGATTCAAAAAAATACACGCAATTACTGTTTAAGACGAGCGCAACGCCAGAGTTAATTCCAAAGGGGTTCAAGATGCTGGACATACCAAAATACGGTGGGAGTTCGGATCCGTAGGAGCACATAACAACCTACACCACGGCCGTGAAAGGGAACGATTTGGCTTAACATGAGATCACGTCAATCTTGCTGAAGAGGTTTGGTGAAACCCTCTTTTACCCGAGCATTCAATTGACTCTTTTGAGATGCTTGCAGACTCGTTCATTAAGGCCCATGCCGGGAAAAGGAAGGTTCAAGCGATAAAGGCGGACATATTCAGGATTGCGCAACGTGAGTCCAAACTCCTGTGAAAATTCGTGATCCGGTTCCATGAAGAAAAGATATTGCTACCGGTGGTACCAGATGAGTGGGCAGCAGAGGCATTCACAAAAGGTCTAAATCCGCGGAGCTCCGATGCCTCGCGAAAGTTGAAGGAAAGCCTACTCGAGTTTCAAGCAACAACATGGACGGATGTCCATAATCATTATGAGTCAAAAATAAGGATAGAAGATGATCAGCTCGGGTTTCCGGTATCAACCAAGGGATGAGGTCAAGACAAAATTCTCTAGAGGCCATTTTTTTTTCCGTATTAAAGAGACGAGGGTCGTAATAACAAAGGGTTTTGGTCATCGAATAAGTTTTCTCCCAATAGAAGAATCGACCGAGGTCGGAACAACAGGTCATTAAAAGAGAAGGAGGCGCCATGGGCCTGAGACTCCGTATATCCCAGGCTGTCAGACTACAACTTTAACATCATCTTAGTAGAGTAGGTATCGGTAATGGGGAATATCAAAGAAGCACGGTTCCCGAAGCCAATATGATCATATCCTAGCCAGAGGGATCCCAGTTTATGGTGTGAATACCATGGGACTCACGGCCACAGAACTAGGAACTGCCGACATCTTTGTGAAGAGGTGGTGACACTGTTGAAGAATGGCCATCTCAGGGAGTTTCTAAGTGACCGAGCCAAGAACAACTACGGCCGAAGCCGGGACAATGTAGAGCCTTGGAAGGTGGCAGAAGGCTCCCCTCGGTTGACTATCAATATGATTTTTGGCGTAAATGAGGTCAACGATATAACCTTTTCAACAGCAAAGAAAATGAAGATAACAGTGACTCACAACAAGATACTTCGGGAAGTCGCAGAAGATGACATCACTTTCATGGAGGAAGATGCTGACGGACTTTTTCTGCCACACAACAACGCTTTGGTGATCTATCTCAATGTTTTAGATTTAAAAATTAAATGTGTTTTGATTGACCCAGGAAGTTCAGCCAACATAATCTAATGGAGAGTTTTGGAGCAAGCAAACTTGACCCGGAACCTCATTCCGGTTATCTTAGCTGGCTTCAACTTGACAAGCATGATGACCCGATGAGAGATTTTTCTGCCCACACACACCGAAGAAGTAACAAAGACCACTTTGTTCGAGTGGTAGATGGCGATATGGGTTACAATGTAATCCTCGGAAGGATGTGCCCTCAGCATATCATCAAGTGCTGAAATTCTCAACCCCAAAAGGAATCAAGGAAACAAGAGGAGATCAACCGGAGGTAAGGGAGATGAATGCAGTGACTGTTTCCAGTAGCAAAGGGAAAGATCCAACAAATAACAATTATAGAAATTGATGCCTTCACCTTTTTCGAATGAAGACGATAAGAGCGAGGAGTAATCGGAATCCCACCAGGTGCCGAGATATTTTCAGGTACTGGAGGAGACGGATGCGACCGAGTCCACTGCAGAAGAACTCGAGCAAGTGGTCTTATTCGAAAAATTTCTAGAAATGAAGTTTCATTTGGGAACATGGTTCAATCCCGAACTCGGGTAAGAATTTATAAATTTTCTTAAAGCTAATGTATATTGCTTTGTGTGGTCGCACTCGGATATGATAGGTATCCCATTAGAAGTGGCCATTCACAAGCTAAGTCTGGATCCAAACATTCCACCGGTAAGGCAAAAGAAACGGCCGATAGCGGAGGTCAGGAACAAGTTTGTTAAAGAAGAGGTAACCGGATTACTCAACATTAGTTCAATCTGGGAGGTAAAATATCCAGAATGTTTAGCCAACGTAGTTGTAGTACCGAAAAAGAATAACAAGTTTAGAATGTGCGTAGATTATAAGGATTTAAATAAGGCGTGCACTAAAGACTTGTTCCCATTACCAAATATTGATCAAATGATTGATAGTACAACATGACACGAGTTAATGAGTTTTCTTGATGCTTACTTTGGGTACAACCAAATCAAGATGAACCTGAAGGATGAGGAGAAAACCTCTTTCATAACAAACTTTGGCACATATTGCTATAATGTGATGCCATTTGGGCTTAAGAACATCGGAGCCACTTACCAGAGTCTCGTTAATAAAATATATGAAGATAAGATAGGCAAAACAATGGAGGTATATATTGTTGACATGTTAGTCAAGTATTTGAATGCAGGAGATCATTTGAGACACCTCCAAGAGATTTTCGATGTCCCGAGGAAGCATAACATGAAACTCAACCCGGAAAAATATGCGTTCGGGTTGGATCCGGTAATTTCTTGGGGTTCCTGGTCTCGCAAAGAGGGATTGAAGTTAATCCCGAAAAGATCAAAGCCATCAAAGACATACCGGACCAGATAACGAGCGTGAAGGAAATGTAGAGATTAAGCGGAAGGTTGGCGGCTTTAAGCAGGTTCATCTCAAGATCCTCAGAAAGGTGCCATCACTTCTTCTCACTTCTAAAAAAGAAGAACAATTTCGTGTGGACACCGGAATGCCAACAGACCTTGAAATACCTAAGAAGTAACTTATCAAGCCCCCCGTTACTATCCAAATCGGGAGAAGGCGAGCAATTGTTAATATACCTAGCAGTCTCGGAAGTAGCGGTAAGTGCCATTTTAGTCCGAGAGGAAGAAGGTATGCAATTTCCCGTTTATTATGTTAAAATATTGTCGGGAGCGGAGACTCGCTATCCACACCTCGAAAAGTTGGCCTTAGCTCTCGTAGCCGCCTCTCGAAAGCTTAGGCCTTATTTTCAGTGCCACTCTATAGCTGTTGTGACAACCTTTCATTTAAGGAATGTCCTCCACAAGCCTGAGTTGTCAGGTCGTTTGGCTAAATGGGCGGTCGAAATCAGTAGGTTTAACATTGAGTACAAACCTAGGACTGCGATCAATTCACAAGTTTTAGTCGACTTTGTGGCCGATTTCAGTCCTGGATTAATTCCCTTGGCTGCTAAGGAAGTAGTGCTGGTGTTGGAAATGGGGGTTTGGACCTTATTTACGGATGGAGCTTCTAATATAAAAGGATCCGGTCTCGGGATAGTTCTAGTCACGCCCTCGGGCAAAACTCTAAGGCAGGCCATTAAAACTGTTCCGTTAACTAACAATAAAGCTGAGTATGAGGCTTTGGTTGCAGGACTTGAACTAGCCCGAGGACTCGACTACGAGGTCATCACGATAAAGTGTGATTCCCAACTAGTAGTAAACCAAGTATACGGGATTTTTGACATAAAGGACGAGCACATGCAACAATACGTGAACAAGGTTCAGGCACTGCTTACGCAATTTAAAGAATGGTCGATTATACGTATTCCAAGGGAAGAAAATGTGGAAGCAGATGCATTGGCTAATTTGGGTTCATCTACGAAGATGAAAGGATTTGGCTCTAGTACTTTCGTTCAATTTCTACATTCAATATTGGATGTGGATGGTTACTACGAAGTCAATTCAACCAACCTTGTTTGGGACTGGAGGAATGAGTTCGTCGAATACCTTCGTCATGGCAGATTACCCGAAGACCCGAAGGCGTCCCGGGCACTACGAACCAAAGCAACTTGTTACTGCCTTGTGGATGGGCAATTATACAGAAGATAATATCAAGGACTATTGGCCCGGTGTATGGGGGCCTCGTAGGCGGTATACGTAATGAGGGAAGTCCACGCAGGAATTTGCGGGAATTACTCTGGTACAGATTCATTAGTTCTCAAGTAGATCAAGGTAGGTTGCTATTGGCCTCGGATAGAACAAGACGCAAAGACGTTTGTTCAAAAATGTGACAAATGTCAACGCCATGCACAACTGGTACACCAACCAGCAGAACTCTTGCATTCAGTGTTGTCCCCATGGCTATAATGGTGGATGGACATAGTTGGTCCTCTACCACCGAGTCCCGGAAAGGTAAGATTTCTTTTAATTTTAACTAACTACTTCACTAAATGGGTTGAAGCAGGTCCTTACTAGAAGATCAGTGAGCGTGAAGTCGTCGACTTCATATGGGACCACATAATATGTCGATTCAGAATACTAAAGGAAATTTCCTGTGACAACGGGCCGCAGTTTATAGGTTCAAAGGTCACAAATATTTTTGAAGATTTGGAAATCAAAAGGATTACATCTTCACTGTACCATCCAAGTGCTAACGGACAAGCGGAATCAACAAATAAGATGATTATCCAGAACTTTAAAAAGAAGCTTGAGGATGTTAAAGGCAAGTGGCCCGAAGAGCTACCGGGTGTGCTATGGGCGTACCAGACAACGGCAAAATTGAGCATAGGACAATCACTTTTCTCTCTCGTGTATGGTGCAAAGCTCTGATACCGATGGAAGTGGGTGAACCAACTTTAAGGTTTTCCTAAACAAACGAAGAAACAAACAATAAAGCATTGCTGGTGAGGTTGGACTTGCTCGATGAACACATGGACTTGGCATACATGAGGATGGTGGTTCAGAAGTAGAGGATGGAAAGATATTATAATCGCAGGGACAATCTCTGTTACTTCAAAGTAAGAGACTTGGTTTTGAGGAAAGTGACTCAAAACACTCGGTAAGTCAATGCCAAGATGGAGTCAAATTGCCCAGCAATTGGAACACGTCTCACCTCAAAAGGTATTATTGCTGATGGATGTTACCAATACTGAAAGTATGTGCTGCACTATTTTTCCCTTCATCTAGTTTTTGTCCCAATCGAATTTTTCTAGCAAGGTTTTTAATGAGGCAGTGACGGAAAGCATACTACGAAGGGAGCGTCATCGGAAAAGGTAAAACCTTTAAATATGAAGGCACGGAATTTTCACATCGATGGTCAAAAGTTATGTAGATGGTTAAATAATCTTTGGCTCGGTAGCAAGCTTTGCCTTCCATCACTAAAAAAGTATTATTTAACCATTCGCAAGTTGTTTCCATCGGTGAAACAAGATTTCCAATATTCGAATTCGCATTCTTCGCATTCGAACACTGGGGGGAATAATATAAGATACGGCAACAAGAATTCCACGAAAATTGGAGACAGCTGGAACCGGGAGTAATAATGTCTCATCAGGGCTGGAGACGGCATGACCAGCCCCGTAGAAATAAGTTGTACAAGTTAACAACATGTATTGACCGTTTTTACTAGCAAATGAATGCTTATGTACTTTTAAATATAGAAGGAATAAAACAAAGTCCTTTTATTTTTATCTTATTTCTTGTCCAAATGATGAGTTAATTTTACCGTTTGAAAGTTAACAAAATCTTCAAATGCTTGTGTCGGAATGAACAGGAGATGTCCTCTTCAAGAGTACCGTAAACATAAGGGCCTTCTCTTATGAAACTCTCATAGTAAAGGGCTGATTCCGAAAAATGTATGCCCAAAATCAAAGGCTGTCGGATGAAAATATACCTAAAGCTTTAATCAATTAAACGCAAAAGGAATATATTTTGCACAACACTTAAGCAAAAATTCTTTATTTATTTATCAAGTACCAAACTCGGTAAAAAATTTGGCATAATTACAAAGTACAAAAAAAGGGAAAAAAAACTATACATCATTGCCGCCGGAACCCGAAGGGAGAGAGGGATTTACGTTTCCCCGGTAGAGGAAGGTGGATCCACTACCGGTTCAGGGCCTTCATCTTCATCTTCTTCAGACTCCCTTTCAGTTCCCGAGTACTAGGAGCCAGTACTCGAAGATTCAGTTGCTGTGGGCCAAGCAGGAAGATTTTCACGAGCAGTTAGCTCCAGTTCTCGGGCCTTGATGATGCAATCATCAATATCGACGATGCCCGCTTTGGCCTCTTCCAAGATTTTCCTCCTCATATGATATATAGTATAAGTCTTCTCAAATACGAGTGAATCTTCTTGGCCCTGGAGCATTCCTTGGAGTCTATCAATTTTGGCTTGAAGGTCGTCCTTTTTAGATCTGAAGGCACTGAGGCGAGAATCGATCTCAACATTTGTAGTTGAGTGGATCAGGTTCTGATCCATGGTCCTCTTCAGCCTTTCCTCCATTTTAGCCCTCTTCTCCTCGACAACACGAGTTTCTTTGGTTTTAGAGCGTAAGTCTGCTTTCAAATTATTGATTTGCTTCTCGAAGGCAGACTCGCGCTCAGCAGCAACAAGCACATCGTCATGGAGCATGACCCACTTAGCCTTAGCCTCTTGAATCTATTCGTGTAATTGAGTATCTTCTTGGTTGTGGGCCATCTTACCTTGTTCGTTTTGCTGCAATCGGGCCTCAAGCTCGCTTATCTCAGCAGCGTTTACTTCCAACACTGGGAGGCATGCAACAAACTGGTTCTTTTCGGCCAAAAGTTGATCCCGCTTGGAAGAGTGCCCTTGCTTATTAAGGATCAACCTTTGCAGGCCTTTAGAAGCAAGAAAGTTGGCCTGTAAAAAAGAATATTAAAGTTATGATTTCCGTTACAACATGCAAATAGAAAGAAGATACGAGGGAAACTAGTACGACACCTGTGCCGCGCTATGCATGGCATCGTTCATCAGGCACTCCCCGGAAAGGGAGCGCATATTTTTCCAATCTTTTTTCAAAGCCAACGACTTCAGATAATTCGCAAGCTCCACCATCTTGGACAAAAGATGACACTCTTTCAAAACTGAAAGAGTGGCACTTCTCCTCCCTCGAGGGTTTGGGGAGGGGGTTGAATAATCATGCCCGAAATTCCCATGGTCGGGAGATCGAGGAGGAGAAACATCCCTTTCTTGATCGTCTGTTGCCAGTGGAGGAGATGTAATTGTTGCTTGTAGTGAAGGAGCAGCTGGTGTTGGTGGGCGTGAACCCATAGGTGTGGAAGGTGAAGAAGCAACAATGGTAGATGAAGGGTTGGTTATTATTTGCTCAGTGGTCGAAGGCAAAAGAGGCCCAGGGTCCAAACTCCTTGGACCAGAAACAACAATGAGGGTTGGGATGAGAGAATCAACATTATCTACCAGTCCCATCTCACCCCAAAGTGCCTGGGTTACCTCTTCGGTCGGGTTTTGAAGCTTGCCCGACTGAGCATCCGGTTGAGATGATGAAGATATTTTCCTCCTTTGAAGGTAAGCCTTTCCATCACTAGCTTCCCTTCATCATCGAGGACCACTGTGACTTTGGCCGGCTCGGTCGGTATTTTCTTTATCTTCTTCTTTTGAGTCCCAGCCAAGGAAGAGCGTCGTCTTTTTGGTTGCTTGTTCTAGGGCTGGGGACTCCGAGAGGTGGTTCCCTCACTGGAAGCAAATTTTCAAGCCCTTCTACGAGAAAGGACACCTTGCAACACCCTTCTATCCTCCTCGGGGTCCTCTAAAATATCAATTTTAGGGAAAACGACAGAGCCCCTTGGAATTCCTGAATAAAAAAATAAGTGGAGTAAGCAAATTTATCATGAGATTACTCGTGTTCGTACAAAGGTAAAAGGAAATAGGATTTGGTTTGCCATGATATTTGGCCTTCCAACCATATTTAGGGGCAATTTTCTTCCCGTTCTAGGCCTTGAATCTGTGGTGGCTTTCATTTGGGTAGCTGAAACAAAAGAAATAAGAGAATCAATAACAATAGGTAGCAATCTTTTCACAAAGGAAAGAAGTGAGTGACCGAAAACTTACGAAAGCGATTCCACGACTCGCGAAAAGTTATAGTTGTGGCCCTGGTAGGAATGATATCGAATCGTTCCATCCACCCATGATCGTTGTCATCATCTATGCTGGTGAGAAGAGTGTGGTGACCATGCTTTATGAAGTTTATTACTCCCCCACGGAAATTTTTAGGAGAGTAAAGATTCATCATGTGTGCAAAGGCTAGGGTTTCCCCGGTCTTCGAGCATAATTGGCGAAGATAGGACACCGTCCGCCATATAGATGGGCTTACTTGTGCTAAACAGACCTGATACCAGTGGAAGAACTCTAAAATTATCGGGTCGAGTCCTTCACTCGACTCCATGGTAAATGGACCCAAGTTAAAGGGATACGTATAAACATACGTAAACCCTTCCTTGGAGAAGGTAACCCGCTCTATCATATCCGGATAAAGGATTTCAGGATTGAGACAGTTACAGTCCTACTTCACAGTTGGGATACTGAAAGGGCGAATGGAGGAGGGATACTGTAATACTCCGGAAAATTTCAAAGTACTTAAGTGTAAAACCCGGTAAAATATGCAAAGAAAATAATGTTTTATGGTCCATTATGCGACCGTATAATCACTCTGCGGGCCGCATAATGGCCGCAGAAGTGAGAAGGAGAGGGCTATTGTGGAAGCAGCTATGCGGTCGACTATGCGACCGCATAACTGTTATGCGGTGCATTATGCGACCGCTTAACAGTTATGCGGACCGCATAGGGACCGCATATATAGGTAGTTCTTTTGGCTATTTTGTAACCAATTATGCGACCGATATGCAGTCCGCATAACCATTATGCGGTCGCATATGCGACCACAGAACCTGTTCCGGAGCTTCATTTTTGGGTTTTTAAAACCTGACCCTATTTCGTTAAATACACGCTTTGGTTCATTTTTGAGCTATTATCTGACATTTTAGAGTGAGAGAGGGTGCCCTAGAGTGAGAAGGTGTTCTCCAATAATTGTTCTTCAATTCTTGCCCAAGTTTTGGAAGATTCAGAAGGGAAACTTACTAGGTCTTCATCCTAGAGGTAAGATTCTACACCCTAACCCTCAATTTCGAACTTTGTGTAGAAATGGATAATAAGCAAGATAATTTCTGGGCAAAAGGGTTGGTTATTTTACATGCATGTGTTATCAAGGGGTATAGAATGATTATTGACCTAAAAATGGTAAAGGTTGGGTTGTGGGATGATGGAATCCTCCATAAAAGGATCTTGAAACCTTAATGCACATCTAATGTTGGATAAAATGCTCAAATGAGCTAGAACCATGATCATCTTCCTAATTTTAGTTTAATTTGTATATTTCTATAATAGATTGAAGTTGCTAAAAATTTCGGAACATTTAGAGTGTAAGGAAGCTCAAGTGAGGTATGTTGGCTAAACTTTTCTTTAAGAGTTGGAATTCTCATTATCCTTGTAAGTTCCGAGATATTTATTATAAATTGAGTATCCTAATAAGTTCTGTGATGAAGATATATGTTCAATCTATGTTTCAAATGCTCTTATCATATTGCATTATAAATTGGGAATGTGTCCTAAACTATGGATTATGTATCCACATGTTATAATTTCTAGTCGTGATTTATGTGAAAGTTATTATTCCAAGTTGTGTAGAGATTGTGACTGTGATACACCTCCACCCGCATATATTGGGGTGAGGCGGCATGACCGCTTTGTGTGGGGATTGTGGTATAGAGATTGTGATTGTGATACACCTCCACCCG